CGCGCGCCATCCTGTGGAACAACGTCACCCTGACACCTGTAACTTTTTAAAAGGAGAGCTAAATAAAACAGACAATTGAAAACATAAAGTCGTATTGCTGAAGAAAAAGATGACCAGGCCCACACAAACACGGGCGGAAACGCCACGGCGACCCGTTCCGCCCATCGTCCTCCGGGAGCGGCGACCGCGACCGGGCCCCCTGACCTGGCCCCCTTCCCCGGCCCCGCGTCCTCATTCCCCTTCTCTGCCCAGCCCCACGCCCCACGTGCGCGCTCCCTTCGGGAGACTTCGGGGGTTTCCATCACTTCCAGTCTGAAACTCCATGTGTACTTTTAACCTACACTAAAAAAAAAGAAAAAGGAGAAGAAAGAAAAAGAGGCTTCTTCCTGAGGGGCAAGTGTGCACACTCCACAGTTTTGGCCCAGGAATGGAGGTGGGGGACAGTCATCGTACAGGAGAACTTTATGTTCGTAGGAGTGAGTGTTTCCTGTGACTGCAGTGACGTCCCGAGGCCTGAGAGGCTGAGCGCGCCGGCCACCCGCTCCTTCGATGGCAGGCGCAGGCGGGGCTATCCCGCGGCCTCTAAGATTCCCGGGCACCAACGGCGCGCCCGGATGGGCACACGCCACCCCGGAGGGCTCCGCCGCACCCTGTGACCTCCGGCCCTGCGCCGGGACTCCTGCCTTCTCTCACTGAAACAAGTCCTTTTTCTTTAAGTGCCCACGGCTCCTTTCTGCTACGACTGAGGGGTGCCAGGTGACACTCAGCTGTCCTCGACTGGGAGGGAAAGAGCGTCCCGGGGGTTGGTGGTACTTGGAAATGGGGCCCAGGCCGCCCTGCACGGCGGCTATCGGGGCGCACCGCCGCGGGGCAGCGCCGCAGAGAGCGCAGCGCTCCCCGAACCTCACGGAAGCCGGCGGGGGCCCGCTGAGGCGGGAGCAGGGCTCTGAAACCCGCAGAGCCCGTCCGGGGGTCGTCACGGAGGAGGGGGAATGAACACAATAACGCGGCAAACACTTCCCTGTTTGCCGGGCGAGCAGACGGGGCACTTCTCTCCCACTCGGGAAGGCCGCGGTGCGTCCCCCCGGAGAGGAGGGCCCTGGCGCGTCCCCCCCGGAGAGGAGGGCCGCGGCGCGTCCCCCTCATGGGGAGGCCCCGTCGCCCTTCATCCCAAGGCTTTTATTGAAAGACTTACCAATGGGCCAGGTAACCGGAATGCAGACGTGCACTCGTTACATTGGCATGTTAAGGTCCACAGAGAACAGATGCCTTTAGGAGAACAAGGGACAGGAATTCACTGGTTTACCTGGGCCCGAGAGGAGACCAGTCTAAACGAAAGAGAATGAAGACAAGGGCAAGCGCCTTGATGACAAAGGGCAAGGGGCGCAAACAACGTGAAGGTCCTTCGCAGCACGAGCCGGTCAGGGATCCGAGGGAGGGGCAGAGCACGCTCTAAGGAATTTACTTTTAGGCTTGATTACCCTGGCAACCGCCAGATCTGATCCAGGGCTGTTTTTCCTGCACTGTTAGCCAGGCAGGAACCACCAGGGGACAAGGAGACTGCTTTTCAGCGGCAATGAGCACTCCGGCCGTGTCCAGGCCAAGCCGAGAGGTGTGGGGGCCTCTTTGCCCCTTCTCCGTGTCCCCCAATTTCTCATCTGCGGCCCATATCGACCGATGCCTGTCTAAGGTTGCCCCTTCCCCGAGGGGTCTTATCTGACCTCGGCAGGGACCATCACAAGGCAAAGCAGAGGGGGAACAGGGCACGGCGCCCCCGGAGCCTGCTTCTCCGAGGCCTCCCGAGGATGTCCAGCCTTGGGGCCCTCCGGCCTGTCGGCGGGGCCACAGCTCCTGAAACCCGGCCAGGTGTTTCCCAACCACCAAGAAAAGAAACTGAAATGCGAGGAACTCCTGAGGGTTTACAGGAAATCACTGAGGCCGAGGAAAGCCGGCGCCCTTCCCTGCTGGGGTAGCACCGCCCCTCAGCCCGGCGCCTCCCCTCCTCCCCACTCCTAGTCCACCGTTAGTTCTGTCCTGTTGTTTGTCCCTACCTGCGTCCTCGCTGACCCGCCCGCGCCAGAGCATGTCTCCTAAAACCAGGAAGCATTGTAAGAACCGGAAGTGCGTGTACTCTCAGCACAGGGCGAGCGCCCCTGCGTTCTGAATCCCTTTGAATAAGCGAGTGCGCAGTGAAGAACTGAAGGGCCCACAAAGAAGTCTGACCTTTGCCCGCAGCCGCCGGGAGGGCATCTCCACGCCCCCGGTCACGGTATCTCTGTCCGCCGGGGACGTGGGGCGGCCAGTCACGGGATGTGGCAGGGACGCTGGGTCACGCAGCGTCCGCCTGACCTCCCCAGCGGCTGGGGGTGGAGGCCACACCAATGGAGTCTCTGGACACAGAGGCTCGGGGTCCCCCTGAGCGACAGTGAGCTGTGTGTGTCATCACACATGTGCATAGAGAAGGTGGCCCCGTCCTGGCCCCCGGGGAGAGGGCCCGGGGACTCCACACGGACCACTCCCCCGCACCTGGTCCCACGCGCCTCCTCCCGGCTGATCCGAGCCAGTGTCCTTTCTCCGTAATGAAACGGAGCTCTGAGCAGAGCCGCACCCAGTGGGCCCCCCGAGTCCCCCCGGGACCCTTGGGCTCCTCGCTGGTGTGGGGGGGCGGCCCATCGGGGGTCCCTGCAAACTGCAGGGGAGACTTCATGAGCGGGAACAGGAAAACCGACATCAGAGCAGTGACTCAGGCTTCACAGAGCCCCGTCTGGTAGTCTTTAGACAGAAGGAAAAACTGGAAAGGAAAAGCGATAGAATGAAATGTGTGTGCAATGATTCCGTTTTCGTTTAAACTTCGGGACAAGCGTGTACATAAAGCACACGCCACCGAAACTGAAGCCAGCCGAGCGGGGGAGCGTCCTCAGCCCCGGGGGGGGGGGGGGGGGCCGAAGGAACAGCGCTGGCGCTGGAGAACCGCGCTTCCGGGCCAGGCGAGCCCGCGAGGCGGGACCCCTGAGGGAGAAGCACAAATATTGTAACCTGAAGGGAGAGGAAGGAAGGGACAGTTCACTCCTTGAAAAGGAAGGAAGCTAAATCGGCGAGCTGAGGAAAAGCAGAACTTAACTTAAAATTTTAACTTTGATTTCCTACACCCGAAAAGAAAACGTGTAATTCTTAATGTTTGTGTTTGACCTATTGCGTTGGAATGTCTGTAAGTTAGAAAGCTTTGGTATAAATTGAAATTTGTGATTAAGGCGTAGCTTTTTTTAAGTTCCGTCCAAGTTTCCAATGTGTTCGGAGAAGGAGACCTACTTCACTTCTTTCCCGTGTTTCTGTGCCTTCCCGCCCTGAGAGCGGGTTAGACGCCCGCTGTGCTGGCGTCGCGGGGTGAACAGACGCTCGGAGAGGAGGCAGGTGGCCCCCACCAACCCTCTCCCGGCGCGCGCGGCATGATTTCCGTCCTCTTGCGTTTCCCAGGAACTGTCTCTAATGGGCTTGCTTGGCGCGTCCTCGTTCCCAGGCGTCTGCGTTGGGGGCGGGGGCCGGTTGGGACAAGGCTACAATTCCGCACGCGGGGAGGGCTTTCCCGGGAAACAAAGCGGCTGACCCTGTGTGAGGCCGAGGCGGGCGAGAGCTGGGTGGGCGGTCCGGCGGGGAAGCAACCCTAACGCAGTCACACACGAGAGGCACAAGCCACGTCTCCCGAGAGCGCGTGCAGGCCAGAGCTGCAGGGCCCTTCCAGCGACGGGACGCGTCGTGAACACAGCCGGCGGGCGGCTGAGCGTCCTGCCCAGGCTCCCGGCTCTGGTCGGCACCTGGGCTGTTAGGGCCCGCCCCCAGCACAGCTGGCCGGTCCCCTTGAGCAAGCTGCCTCCCCTCCCTGGGCCTCCGCTTCTCCCTCTGGAAAGCAGAGCTTAGCGCCGCCCCCCACTGCACACCCGCGCCCCCGCTGTGGCAGAGGTCACGGCAGCGACACGAGGGGGCACGTGCCGCCGCGAAGAGCCGCCGCGCTGGGCGTCCCAGGCGAGGCGCAAAGCGCTCTGCCTGCATCTCAAACGCAATGACCCGCACCTCTCGGGGGAGGGGCCTGGGGTGCACGCAGGTCTGTTGGCTCCCCTAAAGCACAGTGCCGTGAGGTGGAAGAACCAGAATTAGAATGAAAGCCCATTTGACGCCAAACCCCCCGTCAGGCTGAACGGAACCGAGGTGCGCTCTGGCCGGCCGTGGGCCGGGGCGTCTGTCGCCCGGGCGTCTGGGCTCACTACGCGCCAGCGTCGCTCTGTCACCGGGCACCGAGTGTGTCGCTGGGCTCAGGGACCCGGCGTTGTGGGGATTCCTTGCGTCTCGACCAACCTCGGGCGTTCCGACGCTCTCAGGGCCCAGCCTGGGGCCTGGGTCCCCATCCAGGTGGCGTGGGAGGGGAGGGGAGTCTCCTCAGCAGAAGAGAAAACCGGGCGGAGGCGCAGGTGAGAACAGCCCCCTGTGACCCGACCAGGCCCTCGGGTCCCCTTCAGGCTGAAGGCAGGACCAGGTCTGACCACCGGCGTGGGGAACGGAGCCGCGCAGGAGGGTCTCCGCTCCGGAGACGCTGCCCGCCCGCAGGCGCCTTTTGGTTTAATTAGTAAAGTCAGGCGGGTGCCCCTGTGCCCAGTTCCCCAGTTCTGCCGGCAGCAGGGCCTCGCCGGCCCGCGAGCGGCTCCCAGGACTGAGCGCTCCACTGTAGCACCAGCTGATGGGACCAGGAACCACAGCTTCCTCTTTTTAAGGCAAAACAAAACAGAGCCCAAGTGCAGGGGGTTCACCTCCCTCACGGATCCCCTTTCCAGAGAGGTTTCAGTTTGCTTCTGACTCTTCCCTGGCGCTGCTCTGCACTCTTGTGCGCCGAGCAAAGACAGAGCCTGGGAGCGCGCGGCCGGAGAGCCTGGCCCTTTCCCTGGGGGTGCCGCCCACGCTCGCCCCGGCACCTGGCCCCCGTGAGCCGACGAGCCGCCCCGGGCAGGGCCATGCTGCCCCCCAACTGCTCCGAGCACAGCGCGGCGGTGGAGGTGGCGGTGGCCACGCTGCTGGGGCTGGAGTGCGGGCTGGGCCTGCTGGGCAACGCGGTGGCCCTGTGGACCTTCTTCTCCCGCCTGAAGGCTTGGAAGCCCTATGCCGTCTACCTCTTCAACCTGGTCGTCGCGGACCTCCTGCTGATCGTCTGCCTGCCCTTCCTGGCGGCCTACTTCCTGCGGCACAAGAGCTGTGACCCCGGGCAGGTGCCAGACAGGATCCTGTTTTTCCTGTGGGCTCTCAGCCGCGGCACAGGCGTTGCCTTCCTCACGGCGGTGGCTGCAGACCGGTACCTCCGCGTGGTCCACCCTCGGCTCAGGGTCAACCTTCTGTCCCTCCGGGCGGCCTGGGGCGTCTCAGGCCTGGTCTGGCTCCTGATGGTCGCCCTGAGCCACCAGAGCCTGCTTGTGCCTGCCGCCGCCGGGTGCCTGGGCCAGGAGCCCAGCAGGGGCGGCTCCTTCAGCCTCGCTTGGCAGGAGGCGTTGTCCTTCGTCCAGTTCATCCTGCCCTTCAGCCTCATCTTGTTCTGCAACGCCAGCATGATGCGGACCCTCCGGAAGCGGCTGCGAGACCCGGACAGGCACCCCAAGCTGCAGCGGGCCCGGGCGCTGCTGGCCACGGTCGTGGTGCTGTTCGCGCTGTGCTTTCTGCCCAGCTTCCTGGCCCAGGCCCTGCAGGCCGTCTTCCGGGGCACAGCCAGCTGCAGGGTGCGGAGGGCGCTGGGGCACGCGTCCGACGTGGCCAGCAGCCTCACGGGCCTGCAGAGCGTGCTGAACCCGGTGGTGTACTGCTTCTCGAGCCCCGCGTTCAGGCACTCCTACCGCAAGGTCTTCTTCACCCTCCGCGGCCAAGGGCAGGAGGCCCCGGAGCCGGGCTGCGACCTCAGAGACTCCGACTCCTGAGGACCGGCCACCCCCGAGCCCCGGGTCCGCGGGAGCCCCCCGGGGCCTCCGCGAGAGCGACCACGAGCTGGGGCTCCGGGCGGACAGGGCGCTGCGAAGCCCAGAGCTGCAGCGAGTGTGGACTGGTTCACGGGCGTTGCCCTAGAGCAGCAGGTCAGCAGGAGGGCCCCGGCGCCCCCGCGGCGCCCATGTGCCACCTGCCGCGGGGGCGCCGCCCCGGCGACCTTGCCGGCCGCCCCGCGCGTCCCCCCACCCCCAAGGACCGGGGACGGGACTCGGGGGGGGCTCAGCGGGGAGGGGCAGGGGCTGGAGGCGGCTGTTACCCTCAGGCCGTTTGATCGGCGCAAATGGTTTTCGTTTCCTTCGCGTTCGTTGGGAAATGCAAAAAATCTGTGCTCCTCCCTGCCCGGCGCCTGGCGCTGGGAGGCAGCGGAACCAGGCGGCGTGTGGCCGCGGGGCCCAGCCTCGGCCCAGGCGCACCCTCCCGGCAGCCCCCAGGCTCGCGCTGCGCAGGGCCCGGGATGCGGTTCCAGCCGCCTCCCCCAGTGCTCGTCCCTCCTACGTCCACAGGGAGGGAGCGCGGCGCGGCTGGGGGGCGGGGGGACGTGGAACAGAGCCCTCGGCTATGGGACACCGTCCCCGCCGGCCGTTCGCTTCCCTTTCCTTTGAAGGAAAAGTCTCTGTTTTTCTTCCCTGACCTCACTGCATGTGCGACTTTAAACGCTGCTTTAAAAAAACTAACCCTTCACAGGAACGTTTTCCATGTTGGGGTGAACCTCCCACAGGCCTTCTTTCCCGGGTTACCCTCTCATCCCTCGGGAGGTGCTTCTGAACCGCTTCCCTGCCGGGGACACGGAGGCCGCGGCTCTGCGCACGGGTAAAGCCACGCTGACATCACCCGGCTTTTCCCTGACGGGACCCCGCCCTCAGGTGGGACGCGGCAGCCGCTCGGCTTTCTGACAGGCCCGCAGACCAGCGCCCGGCACAGCGGCCCCCCAAACACGGCCCCCCCCACCCTTCCCGAGGACGCGCGTGGGACCCAGGATGCTGCTGCTGGCCACCCTCTGCTCCCCCCACCACACACACACATCTGCTTGGCAAAATGGGGAAGTCACCCCGCAGTGCGACTGCCTCTCAGGGTCTGGCGGCCAGTTTCGTGGGCGGCGGGGGGCCCTCCTTCCTGCTCAGCCCTGGGCCTGCTCCGCGGGGCCGGGCGCCTTCGGGAAACGCCGGAGCCTTGGCCAGCGCGGGGTTCTGACTCGGCTGTTGGGGAGGGACCTGGACGCTGGTGGTTTTGAAGTCACCCGAGCCGGGGCTGAGAGCCTCTGGGTGAGTGGCCCAGGCCAGGGCCTTCGGGCCAGCGCCCCCCACTGTCATTTCCCGGCTTTGTGACCTGGGATCGGCCACCGAACCACGGTGGACTTTTCTCTGCCGTGATACGGGGGTGATACAAACCAGCCCGCGGGGCCTCGTGGGGCGGAATGCGGTAATGAACACGTTGAGCATGGCGCCTGGCCCACCATGCGCATTCGGTAGCTGTGACTTTGCTCGTTTAAGTGACCAGTGTGTGCTCTTATCTTTGCAGAAGACCCCGGCCAGCCAGACTGTGCACCCGTGGGGGACAAAACTTGTCACCAGCACACCCTCTGTGCCCTGCCCGGGGCAGGGCAGGTGCTCGGGAGCTGGATGTGGAAAAATTCTGCTAAGCCGAAGGCCCATTACCGTTCTTTCTCTCTGGGCCTTTTCTAGGGACCCCCATTCAAGTTTTATTCCACACATCCATGACGTGGGGCGGTATTTCACACGTGGGAGGTTCGGGGTCCGTGAGCCACCCAACCCTGGGCTCCCCCCAGGCCGCCCGGCAGCTCTGCATCCAGGTTTCCTGCTTCCCAGAGGCCAAGGCCTGGGGCGCTTGCGCCTGCCCAGTTCCGGGAGCCAGGAAGTGACCCAGAGAGCAAGTGCTGTCAGGCAGCAGGCGGCAGGCCTCAGGGCTCCGCCACAGCCGAGTTTCGGTTTCTCTTCTCCCGTGGCTCGCTTCTGGTAACGCAGCGGGCACCCGGCAGTGCCCACGCGTCCTCGAATCTCGGCAGCACCCGGGCCCCGGCACATCCACGAGCGTGGCCAGCAGCCCGGCGCACCCGAGCCGCGCGGCTGCTTCCCGCCTCGGGTGGGGCTGCCCGTGCTAAGCGTGGGTCTCCTCGTTTCTTTCCGAAACCTCGTCTGCCACGGGCTCCTCCCGGGCCACCCACACCCCTGCTGGAATGTTCCAGGCACCGTTTGCCTGGAGAACCCCTAGGTGTCCAGGCGGAAGGGCTGGCAGTTCCCGGCCCGAGGGCCCCCCACGGCCAGGGCAGAGGACTGCCCAGTCCTCGCCCACCAGTCCCATTGCCATGGCAACCCGCAGGGCAGAGTCCAAAATCAGGGGTCAGGGGTGCGGGCCCCGGCGCGAGGGGGTGGCTGTGTAATTCGGGGGCAGCAAGAATTTAGACCAGTAACCCCCCGCCCCCAGTGGCCTTTGCGGGGGCCGGGGCTGCCCCCACCTGCAACACAGGACAGAGGATCTGAGTGCAGCCCCAGCGGCTGCTAGAACAGGCTGGGGGGCTCGCGTCCGACGGCGCTGCCCCGGGGTCACCTGTGGAGCCTGCGGGGTTGGGGGGAGCCTGCGGCGTCCTTGGCCGGGGAATGGCCGCCAGGCCCAGGGGGCCCTGCCCATGGACGGTGGCGGCTCAGACACAGCAGAAGGGCGTTTGTGGGTCACCTGGGAGCGCCAGGAGTGGCCGGTCCCTGGGAACTCAGGCTGCTGGCCCCGACTCCTGCCTCCCAAGGTCACCCCGGGTGGGCTCCCTCCCCGCCCCCAGGGGAAGGGGGGGCGCCTGTCGGGGCTGGGCCTGGCGGTGACGCGCCGCCCTTGTCCTGGGCGTCTGGCCGGCACCCGGCCCCCCGCGGAGCCTGGCGCTGGCCCACCGTCCGCCTGCCGGGCAGCGCGGGCTGGGGGTGGCTGCCGACCCCGCAGGGGGAGGTGACGCGTAGCTGACTGGGACGGGGCAATGGGAAGGGCCGGGACGGCGGACGCGGCAGCTCACGAGGCCACGAACGCGTCCAAGCGGGGACCCCGTGGCTCTGCCCTCCAGGCTGCCGCGCGAGGCCGGAGGCTGGACCCCAGGGGGCCACCGCGGTGGCTCTCCGGCCATGCTTTTGGCCGTGGCCACTGGCTGCTGGGCAGGAGCCATTAGAAGGCAGGGCTGTAGCTGCGGGGGTGGGGGCGGCTCTTCGAGAAGCTTCTCGGCGAAGGCGGGGCCACGCCCCCGAGTCCCCACAGCAAGGCCACTGCCGGCCTTGGCAAGCGTCCCCAGAACGGCCGCCTCCCCTCCCCCCGCCCCCCGGCAGACCAGAGGCTGGCACGCCAGGGCCACACGGTCCCTCAGGGGTTCCACGAAGGAGGGGGCAGCAGGCCCGCTGCACCGAGAACCCAGACGGCGGGAGGAGTGAGGCTGCTTAGTTTGACAGTTTCGGAATTAGTTTCTGGTGAGTACATTGTATCTCATCTTTTACAGTAAAATCTCTACTAGTTGTCATTCCCTTAGAAGTGGCCTAAAATCGGTGTCCTAAAAGATATATAAATCTTATTCCCCAAGTCATATGTATATGCTTATCTCTCCAAACACCTGTGTGCGCTACAACCAAACCAAGTACACAAAACACAAAAATGTAAGTAGTCACACGGCAAAAAAAGGAGCCAATCTACTATAATGAGTATGAAAGGCAGTAAAAAAAAAAAAAAGTGAATTGCAGCAATATTGCAGTCAGAGTTTTAAAATTAATTATTCTTAGGATTTTACGCCAACTTTTAGAGAATGTAGTATAAGCTTCTACTGAAGCTTTTGCGCGGGGACACAGGCGTGTCCCGTGGGATTCGGGAGTGCTGGTGCATCGGCTGAGCCAGGAGCGTGTCCGTAGGTGCAGCCCCCGTCCAGCAGAGGGCGGCAGTGCCCCGTCGGAGGGCCAGTGAGCCTGCCTGCGGCTGGTCACCTTCCAAAGCCGCCGCTCCAAGTGAGGACTTGAGGTCTCCTAGGTGGCGCTCTTAGCGTGATGATTTGCTACCTCTGCTACTTACATAATAGTTTCAAGAACAGGACCCCAAGCTGTCATCTCAAATTCCAGAATCCAGGTGCTCTTCCAGAATGAGGCCGAAGATGAAACTTCTTATAAAATGCTGCCCCTGATCCCAAATGCAGGGCTCTGAAGATGCAGGCTGGCCGAGTCCGGCCGCGGCCGTGGCCAGGGGATGAGGGAGGCGCCCCCCGGGGTCTGCGGGAAGCGTCGGGGCGGACCTGCCTTCCCCACCCGCCTCTGGCCTCAGCTCCGGCGCCTCCGCAGACGCGATTGCAGCTCCTCGTCCTCCTCTTTCAGAGCGGCTTGAACCAAGGATTTCCTGAAAACTGACAGCCTTCATTCTGCTTTCCGAGGTGAGCGGTTATGGCAGCCGTCCTGCCTTCTGCCTGCGCACGGACGGACTCACTGCGTTTTCTCTGTTGTTACACGCATGAGGACCCAGGGCTGCCCGGCAGAAGACCTTTCTCAGACTTTCTTCCACCTGGTTCAGACACGTGACTAACTGCAGGCCAAGAGGTGGGGAGGGTGGGGGAGTGATTTCCACAACTTTCAAGCTGTGCCCTTAAAGAAAGGACCACTCCTTCCCCTCTTCCTCTGTCTGTGGGCTGGAATGGAAGTATGATGGCCGGAGCCACAGCAGCCCACTTGGACCAGGAGGACAGCCTGGACCGAGGCACCCTTCTGACCATCTGGATTGCCTACAAGGGCTCTAATGCAACAGAGAAACAGACCAAGGGATTAGGAGAGAGACAGCTCCCACCTTTAGCTCTCACACGTCCACCGAAATAAGCCGTCAGGCCCGTGATTGTACCACACATGCAGTGCCGGGCATCTGCACAGACGGCCTCGGCGATTGCCGCGAGCTGGGCCTGCTGCAGCATCCCCACTGTCACATTCCTGGGCACCAGACTGCCTGCAGCCGGGTCCCCGAGGGGGCGGAGGAGCAGCACGCAGGCTGCAGCAGGGGACCTGCACTCTGCGCGGGAGGGGCCATGAGCCAGTAGTCTGACAGTAAATGTGAACCGCCACGTCTCCCAGAGATTGGGGGTGGGGGGCGGCTGTGCGCTGCCCCAGGAACCCCGAGTCACAAGGCTGTGAAGACACAAGGGCGGGCTGATGGGGGCCCGGCGGCCACGGGCCGTCATGGGCACCTCCCTGCCTGCCGAGCGGAGGTCCCCGAGGGAGCAGTCTCTGGTGAGCACAGCAGCCACCGGCTGGGGGACATGCCCTCTGTACTGTAGGGGAGCAGTGGGGTGGGGTCCGCCCCTCCCCAGGTGGGACGCGGGCAGCAGGGCGGCCGCTGGAACCGGACGTCCAAGGCTCTCTCCGTGGAAAGGGGGGAGGGGTATGAGTGGAGCTCAGACGCGGCGCCGGCTAAACAGGCGGGCGTGGTCTCACCCGAGGCCCCATGGGCCTCCCGTCCTTCACCCTGGGGGGACAGGCGCCTGGAAAACTTAAGTGGCTGTAGACCTGTGGGCACAGCCCATGAGCCGGGGCACTGCCTGGAAACGAACCCCCCGGTGCCTCCAGTTCGCAGGGAGAAGCTGCTCCCGCTGCCTGGGCGGCGCGGGACCCCCACGCTCCTACGCTGAAGTCCCGACGGCCGGTGTCCGCGCTTGGACACGGGGCCTTTAAAGGGTAATTAAAGTGAAAAGAGGTCATTAGGGTGGACCCTGATCCGGTCTGACCGGAGTCCTTGTAAAACGGGGATTGGGGGCACCGAGGGAGGACTGTGGGAGGAGGCTGAGGCAGCCCGGGGAGGAACCAGCCTGCGCAGCCTGGGTCTCAGACTCCAGCCTATTGGCACAGCAGGCCCAGCAACCACCTGCGCCTGCGCGCTGCGAACACACTGCGAGCACGTGCGCCTGCGCGCTCTGCGCACAGCGTGAGCACGCGCGCCCGCGCACCTGAGCACCGTGAGCCTGTGCGCTGTAAGCACACCTGTGTTCAATGGGACCCGATGCCCTGCGCAGGTAGCTACAGAATGCCTGGATTTTGCCCACGCCTTCAGAAACTGTAGAAGATTTGAAAATGCTGTACTTTCCTTGTCTCATTTCAACAGTAGCCTGCCCAACCTCAGAAGCAAATCAGCATGCAAATTGCAAGATGACACCTGTGTGCCTCCGTCCAGGTGTGGAATTTGCAAGATAATACTTCATGCCTAAATAAGCACCTCTGTTGAGATTTATATGTGATAAAATTTCATTTATCCAAAAAAAAAATTGATTGAGACCATTTCAGCTACTTTGTAGCAGGAACCAAGAAAAATTGCCTCTGCTCAGCAGAGATAGATGTGATCACATGGAAATACACGTGTGTGTGCACCATCGGGGTGTGCACCTATGTACGGTTACTTCGTGAACCACATGCCAGTTGGGGCGACTCGTTGCCCAGTGAGCGCGGGTCTGACAGGAGTGGATGGCCAGGTCCCCAGACATAGCGGAGCACCGCGCGGTGTGCAGAGCAGAGTGGCGGCAGGCACACTGCACTCCAGCGGAGCCTGACAGGGACAGACGCTACAGCCACCGCCGCCAAGGGCACACGAGGGCTGTCGGAGGACAGTCCCCAGACGCCCCGCGCAGCCGGCGCACAGCATGGCCACCATCAGCGGCGCACTGCCTCACCCGACACCCACGGCAGCCGGAGGAAAAAATGCCACTTCACGAATTAAAGTATTTAGTACGCTTTTGTATTCATTTTTATTCATTATGGCTGGGATTTTAAAAGGGCTGTTGCTTGAAGAGGGAAGCTTTGTTCGCTGGAGGCTGAAGCTGGGCAGACAAGCCGTCCCCAGCCGCGCCCAACACCTCGAGGCTCCCGAGCCTGCAGGAGACGGCCGCTTGTCCTCACAGATCACATCTGCGCCACAGCCGCACCGCAGGCGCGTCGGGGGCCGCCCCCGTCGCCGTGGTTTCTGGCGCCAGCCGCTAACAGGCTTGGAGGGCCTGAGGTCCGTGCACATCGCGGTGCCCCAGACGGGACGCAGAAGCTGGCAGCTGGTCTCTCTGTCCTGCGCACACCCGTGCGAGGTGGCAAAGCCAGCGCCACGTTTTAATATCCAGGCTTAGAGCCCTAAGAACTGCACTGAATTTCAGAGAGACTTGGTGAGGGCTCAGGAGGACTGGAGAGACTCCCCAAGGACATGTCTGTCAGCATGAGCCGAGCCAGTGTTGCAGCAGGTCATGTTGGTATCTTCTACACGTTTGTCTTTTCATCACATATTTTCCCCCTTACATTCCTGTGTTCACACAGCACTGCCAAACACAGGGTCTGTGAACTCTCCGGAAGTGGAAGAGCGTTGTTGAGACCTGATCCCTCGTTCCCTGCAGGCACGGGGGGAACCACCTTAATTCAAGTCTGCCGCAGATGCCGAGGCGACTCGGGCTGCACAGCCAGCCCTCGGCCACACGCCCTCCCGCCCCACTCAGGAGGCGACAGACGCTCCTTCTACATTTTCTCAGCTCAGTTTCCTTGTTCTTTTTTTTTTTTTAAAGCATTCTGTGTATAAAAAGTTTTGACGCCTAGCGCTTGAAGCGGCACTGAAAACTCCAGTTTCATTATGCTTCGCTAAACAAACCTCCCTGAAGCCATCGGGGTGGTGGCCGTGTGCTGGGGGCGCCCCGTCCGCCCCGGGCCCTCAGCCTGCCAGCCTGCCAGCCTGCCACGGGGAGTCGCCGGCTACAGGGACACGCAGCAAGCTGCCACCTTCCTGCGGGCCGCGCCAGCCCAAGGCGCCGACCCACGGGGACGCTGTTGCTCATGCCCATCCCGCCCTCTGGCCTGCATCCCGGCTGCATGTCATCAGCTCACGCTCCCGAGCCCGTCCTCCCGCGGCCCTTCTGCCTCAGGCCCGCCAAGGGCATCGAAGGCCGGTCCCTGAGCTGCTTCTGAGCAGCAGCCGCAGCCATGCTGATGGGCGAAATCTTGGACCTTTTGCCTAGAATGGGTGCATGAGGGCTTTGTTTGTTTTGTTTTTTCTGTTTTGGTTTTTCAAGCTCCGTGATTTTTTTTTTTTTTTTTAGCTCTGATATGAAGAAATGGTGGCCTATGGCTGCTTCACAAACATTTCTGAAAATGTTCATGTTTGTGGCCACATCCCTCCAATCCCCCATTTCCTGAAGCCTGATTTGAGGGGTGCTGGCTATAAATACCACAGTCACAGTGTCTCTGGCCAAGGAAATTTGGGAAACGCCACGCGCCAAAGCCCACCCCCCCGTCCCCACCCCCTGGAAAGGTCCCCAGCCCTGGGACCGCAGGGAAGACGCCGCTCGCCTCCGCTCTGTGTCCCCCTTCCCACGCGTCTGCGCACCACGCACGTCTGAGGGCTTGTCCGCCCGTCGCCGCGGGGACATCACATGGTGAAGGACGAGGCGTTGTCGTTGTCCACGGCCTCGCTGTTCTGCCGGGAGATGAAGGTTTCTGAGTAGAGCCTGGAGCAGGAGAAGCCCGGAGACTTCTGCCGCCTGCGCACACACAGCAGGTCCTTCATGATCTTCAGGAAGTAGCCCCGGAACTTCTGGCCGATGAAGGCGTACAGCACGGGGTTGAGGCAGCAGTGCAGGAAGGCCAGGACCTCGGTGCAGTTGCTGGTGTAGCCCATCAGCTTCTCCCCGTGGCAGGACCGGTTCATCTTCCCCAGGTTGGCCGCCGTCACCAGCAGCACCAGGTTGTGGGGGACCTGGCAGGCCAAGAAGACCAGCATGACCGCGACAACCACGCGGATGGCCCGGTGCCGCTTCGAGTTCTGAGCGTGCATCAGGGTCTTGACGATGAACAGGTAGCAGAACACCATGAACACCAGCGGGACGAAGAAGCCGAAGAAGAGCTGCAGCCCCAGCATCAGCAGCTTCAGGCGCAGCGGCTCGGGGAAGCCGGTGTAGCGGGGCTCGCAGACGTCGCCGCCCTGCAGGCTGTACTTCTGGTGGAAGGTGAAGGTCGGGATGGAGATGACCGCCGACAGGGCCCACACGGCCAGGCAGATGCCGCGATGGTGCACCAGCGTCTGCGACCGCAGGCGGAACGACTTGGTGGCCTGCACGATGGCGATGTAGCGGTCCAGGCTGACGCAGGCCAGCAGCAGCATCCCGCAGTGGAAGTTGATGGCGTAGATGCCTCTCACCAGCTTGCATATGGCGCTGCTGAACAGCCACTGGCCGGTGGCGTGGCTGGTGGCCCAGAACGGGAGGGTGAGGACGAACAGGATGTCCGCGATGGCCATGTTCAATAGGTACACGTCGGTCATGGACTTGGCTTTCTTATAGAAGGCGAAGGTGACCACTACCAGAATGTTGCCCAGGAGGCCGAACACACAGATCAATGAGTAAGCGATGGGCACGAACAGACTGGAGAAGTCCCTGACCTCCTGCAAGGAGCACAGCAAATTCTCGCTCATGGGTGGGTAGTCCCCAGTGGTGCTATTGTCCTCGTCGCCGTACGGGTAGTCGTAACTCCTTGGTTCCTGGGAAAGGAACAAAGGCAGAGTGAACTGTAGCATGATTTTCAAGGAGCCACAGCAGCCGAACTCATCTGCCCCGCCCAAACAAGGTGGCAACTCACCGCGGTCATTGCGCTGCCGGTCCGGGCGGGGCGCGGGCCTGATGCAGGAGCGAAAGGACTCCGACCCTCAGCTCGCCGGGGCGCTACCGGGAGACGGGTGAGCCTGGCGGGAAAGGAAGCCAAGGGCACCGTGGTTAAGACCCGAGGTCGGGAGCGCCGAGGCTGGAGGGACTAGCGCGTGGAAACGCCCACTCACAGCGGGTCAGCGCCCTCCGGCCGCGGAGGGCTGGACGGCACGTCTTCTGGGCTCTGCAGGCCCTAAGGTCTCTGTCGCGGCTGCATGGAAGCCGTCCTGGACAACCTCGCAAGTGGACGGGCTCGCCCAGGCGTGGGGGCTGTGGGCTGGGACGCGCCCGTGCCTGACCTACAGTGTGAGACGTCGGCCAAACCACAGACAAGGATCTGCACACGCATCTTCACGCACAATTCAACTGCAGTGCATTCTACAAGATTCCCCCAAATGAGGTTTATGGGAGTGAAGATCGGTCCACGATGTTTATGACTTACAGTCCTCACCTGCAAAGAGTTTGCACTACAGTTCAGCGATTTTCACCCAGGTGGGCCCGTGAGGATCACTGGTCGGTCTCTCTTTAAAGTTTGTATGTGAGGGTTATTCTCAAGATAAACTAAATCAGACTCTCTGGCCTGAAAAGCAATAGGACTCTACATATTTTTAAAAGCTACAGCTATGTCCAGCGTACACTCTGCTTAACAGACACGAATCTGCCGGGCAGACACGGCGTAATCCTCAAACACCAGAGGGCGGGGAAGAAGGTCAAAGCCGTCACGATTAGGGAAGGCTGGGCGGACAGACCCGTTTGGGGTCCCTGGAGAACAGCAGCAAGGGTGGCCGGGACCGCTCGGCCGCAAAGGAATGCCGAGCACCGCACGTCTGTGAAGCAGGGCGACCGGCCGGCCGCCGACACGATGGCTGCGACCGTCACTGAGCTCGCGCCGTGAGGGGCGCCGTGAGGGCCCCAGACTGAGGGGTGGGCGCAGCCGCGACCCAGAGTGAGGGCCTCCGAAACCCATCCCTGGAAACAAACTCAGTCAGGGGGGGGTTTCGTTGCCCTCCCCCCACCCAGTCATTTGTCTTTACTTGGTGTTTTCATCCTGCTTTACCATCTGTCAAATACCCTCCCCCCAAAAAACCCCAGCCTAGAATTCTCTGACATCATGTAAATGTGCTTCCTGCCCACTCGCTCTCCCTCCCCCGCCGGCCCCTGCCAGGTGGTTGGCAAAGGTCAAGAAGAGGGGAACAGTAGAAATGCAGGTGCCCGCTGCACGGGCAGGGGTGAAACTGCCCGTCGCCCGCCGCACGTGCCGGGCCCGCCCTCCCTGACGGGCCAGTGTGGGTCCCCGACATTTCAGGGGGAAGCCGGCGCCCCCGCAGAGCGCCGCCCTGAAGGGTTTTCTGAGAGGACTCTTGTGCTACGCGACTCTCGCTCTGCTGCTTCCACAGTTACAGATCGGTGCCCTCGCCCCCTCCCCGAGGCCTGGCTCTGTCACCGGCGGGTGAGCCTGGGCAGCAGCTCCCTCAGGCTCTGAACGCAAGGCTAGGGGAGGCGGGGGTGCCCGCACGTTGCCGTCGCCCGCAGGGCGCGCTTCTCAGCGGGTGCTCGAGGGCGTGCAGAGGAGGCACGTGTAGACCCTGAGTTACAAAAGCACACGAGGAGACACACGAATCGATGAGCTGAGCAGCCTGAAGACGCCGATCAGAATGCGGCGGCAAGACCTGCGCTCCCAGCCGTGAAGGGTCAGCCGAGAACAAACAGCCGGAAAGGCCCACAGGACACAGGCGGTGACAGTGTGCAGACGCAGGCGGAGGACACCCCAGCGCTCTGGGCCCGCCCGGGGGGCAAAGAGTGCGCGGGGCGCCGTTCGGAGCTCAGCGCAGCCCCGGCGCCCACGGGGAGCGGCTTGCAAGCTAAGGGCGCGGCATCACCTGAGCAGAGTGCTGGGAAAAGGACAGATTCATAAAATTGATGGAACAAAAGGGGTCCGGGAATAGTCCCGCACAGAGAGGTCCACCAATTCTTGACTAAAGTGCCAGGCAGGTCACGGAGGATGAAACAGTCTTTTCCGTGAACGGTGCTGGAACGACCGGATGTTCACATATAAGAAAATGGGTCCTTGCCCCATACCTCGCCCCATAGGCAAAAATAAATAAATAAATAAATAATTGAAAAAATTCGCCAAACAAGTTATGGGCCCAGGTGTGAGAGCTAAAACCATAGCCCGTGTAGAAGGAACATAGATCTCTGTGTTCTGGGAATGGAAGAGTTTTCTTATATAAACTACGAAAAGCGTGAACTGTGGAAACCGACAAATCAGGCTTGATTGGAATTTAAAACTCCCGCTCTTTGAAAGACTCTTAAAAACTGGAAAACAAAACCCTTGAATGAGAAATTGGTTTCTGGCAAACTTATGTCTGATCACAGATTGTATCCAGAATGTACAAAGGTCTCTTGCAACTCAGCATCAAGAAGAAACACAACACCATAAGAAACAGGCCAAACATTCACCAGAGAAAACAACGCGCGGATGGCAACTGACACAGGAGAAGGTGTGCAGAATCATTCCTCGTTGGAGACGCGCACAGTGAACCTGCGGTGAGACCTCAGCTCCCTGACCTCCGTCCCGAAGGGCTAAAGTTAAAGCGGCAGCAAGACAGCGCAGGTTGTCGGACCCAAAGTGTGTGTGCGTGAAGCTGCCGGCCCCCGGAGCTCTGCTGCCTCCATGGCGGGAGCGCAGCATCGCTCGCCACAGGGAGCAACGTGGCGTTAAACACGGCCCTGATCTATGAACCAGCGACGGAACACCTGTGTGTTCACCCACGAGGAGTGGAAAGGGAAGCCCCGGACGTGGAGGTCCGCAGCGGTTCGCTCTTAAGGGCCCCGGGCTGGAGGGCCCCGCGCGCCCCTCGGCTGGGGCGCCGCCCGGTGAGGAAGGCGCACCCCGTGCACAGTGGGCAGAACGCTGCTCCCCAGTGAAATGAGTGCGCGGCCGACGCGCCAACACAGTGACTCAACAGCGCTTGCTGGGTAGAGGACAGACGGACGGACCAGCCGCTGCACAGCTGCATGTCCGTGACATTCTAGAAAAGGCAAAACAGTAGTGGCGGGAATCAAACCAGCGGCGGTCCCGGGTCGGGGACGCGCAGAAGCGGCAGAGGGGGCACAGGGTCCTCTGGGTGGGGACGGAGGCGGCTCGCCTCGGGCCTGCGACGGCGTCGCGCATCTGTCACCCCGTCTGAGTGCACGTGGCGCCAAGTGGGAGGTTTGGGGCAACCGCATGGACGCGGCTGCTGGCCCCACTTTCCCAACCGCTCCGACGATGGTCAGCGCTTTGTAGCAGCAACGTACTTGACAGAGACACCTGCCTTTTCCAGATGTGCTACTGCACACCGAATAGACGACCGTGTCGTGGAAACAGAACTTTACCATGTACCGGGAAACCAAAACTGTGTGGGACTCGCCGCGTTCCTGGAGTGGCCTGGAACCAAGCCCTCCGTCTGCCTGTGTTTCGGGCTGGTGACACTTACCCCATGTAACGGATAGGCCCACAAAGTTTAAAAAATAGCTGCCCGCAGTTCCACACAGACGTGCAGGCGGCGGCCTTGCAGGTCAGAGAGGGGCCCGAGGAGGCCTGGGGAGGGGCCGAGGCTCGGGGCGGGGCGGCAGCAGGAAGGGAGGCCGTGAGAGGGGGGCCTCGGGGAAGGCAGGTCGGCGGGAGGGGCGGTGGAGGCTCCAAGAGGCGGCGCCTTCGCTCTGGATCGCGTCTCTCGGGGAGGCCCCGTGGAACCTCCTGTCGTTTATTCTCAGACTTGATTAGGGTGGCAGAACGATCACGAGATCGCCCCCTGCCCGTGTGTCAGCGCCGCCTTGCTGAGGGTGCCGGCCGGAATACCAAGGACACACAAATGGGGACAGCGACAATGTCCCTGGGCGGCCGCGGCTCAGAGCCAGTGCTCCCAGCCCCAGGCCGCAGTCACGTTGTGTGGCTGTCAGGCACTCGGCGTTCCTGGAAGTGACTCAGCTGCCCAGACCACCGCTGCACCACAAGACTTGTGTGAGCCGTTTCAGGGAAATCGCGTCGGTGCCGTGGGCCAGCACGGCCCGCGAGGAAGCCCGTGCACCTGCCACCTGCCGTGCATGGCAACCAGCTCGCACTGTGAGCAGCAGGTGTCAGCTCTTGGGAGAAACCACCTGTTTCTGTTATGAAAGTTGTGACGGCGGAGACATGGAGGAGGTTTAAAGTAGATGCTCCTGGCCCGGTGACTCAGTGGCTTGGAGCGTTGAACCCTCACAACAGAAAAGTTGCAGGTTCCCTCCCCGGTCAGGGCGCACACCCAGGCTGCGGGTTCGATCTCTGGTCGGCCGTGTACAGGAGGCAAGTGATCGATGCTGTGTGCGCGCTCGCTCGCTCGCTTGCTCTCCTCCCCCGCCCCTCCCTGTCTCTCTGAAATCAATAAACATACCCTCAGGTGAGGATTAACAAATAGATATTCCTGTGCCTTCGCTAAGGAGCTGAGAGTCAGCAGTACAGTATCCACCGGGGGTTGATGAGCGGCCGGTGACACAGCCTGTCATCAGTCTGCTGCTCGGTGACCCAACAAACCGATGGCTGTAAAGCCCCTTGAATGGGGGTCTGGCCCATCCCGCTGCCAGGCCCTCACGTCCCTCCCCGCACACGCTCCTCCGCGCCCCCGACCCCACGTCCTCGCCGGGCCGTATCCGCAGGCGCCGCCTCACACAGGGCACCGCCGGCTCAGCTGGCCCTGGCCAGCGAGCCTTCCTTCCCTCAGCCACGCAGAGGAGCACCCGGTACTTCCGCACGGCGCGCTGGTGCTAGGTCCGAGACAGAACATTTTAGCAGGAAAATGGACGCCCCGCATGCGACTCGAAGGGGCCACGGCCAGATGGAAGTTGGAAGTTC